CCATTTTTATGATATCCGTAAATGTTATATTATAAAATCATTATTATTATTATTATGTTATTTTTTATTATCCGTGAATGTTAGCAACTGGACAAATTGAATGCAGCGGTCAAGGAAAAGCGACCAGAATTGGTCAATCGTAAAGGTGTCATTTTCCAGCAGGACAATGCTAGGCCGCGCACGTCTTTGTCCACTCGGCAAAAATTGATGGATATTGGTTGGGAATCGAGGTTACACCCACCATATAGCCCTGATCTCGCGCCATCGGATTACCACTTATTTCGATCCTTGGACAACTCCCTTCGTGGTAAAACTTTTAACGATGATGACGCTGTAAAATCTCGCTTAACTCAGTTTTTGGCCGAAAAGGATCAGACTTTCTGCGAGCGTGGAATTTTCAAGTTGTCAGAGAGATGGCAAAAGGTCGTCGAACAAAATGGAAAATACATTACAGATTAAACTTCGTTCCAAGTAAAAAAAAATTTTTTATTCCATTGAACAAATCGGCAATTACTTTGTTGCCAATCCAATATTAAGCCTATCACACAGTCTTGCTGTAGTGAAATAAATGAATCTTGTTAACGTGTAGAGCTTCTGGTGCACTAATCCGTGTATCGTTGACATCCTCAGCTGGCCCAGGTGACCCGAGACGGTGTCACGGCAAGGTCGAACGCGCAGGATGCCTTCAACTTCGCCCTGAGAGCGCGAAACCTGTCCGACAACGTGACGAAGGATCTATCCGACATCAACAAGCGGATCAAGAGCACGCTGGACGAGGACCAGCCGACTCCAACGATGGTCAGGGACCTGGCGAAAGAGATCATCAACAAGAACATCCAGCTGAAACCCGACGAGATCAAGGACTTGGCCGAGCGAATAAACACCATCGTTGGTTCCTTGACCGACCCTGAAAAGATCCTGGCAGACACCAGGGACGACCTCTATCTGGCTATGGAATTGAAGGAGAAAGCTGACAGAGCGAAGGAGTACGCTTTGGGCAATCAAACGCAAGCAAACGAGGTGGTGGTGCTTTTGAACGATGCCCAAAAGGCGCAGAATCTCGCTCAGTTAGCGATCGATCAGGCTGAGAGAGACGTGAAGAAGTCGGAGAAGGATCTCCAGGAGATCGCAGAAGTGACAAGAGGCGCCCTGATGCAAGCGAACAGCACCACGCAGACGGTGGACGACCTGGACGCTCGTCTGAAGCAGCTGCAGACGCAGCAGGTGAAGAACGACTTCGTCATGAACCAGGAAATCGCCGTACAGATGAAGAAGGTGGCCGAGGACGCTCAGGACGTCGACACCAAGACGAAGAAATTAGCGGAGGAGTATCGCAAGGTCGACGTGTCCTTGGATCTAAGCGTGAACAAGAGCAAGGACAACATCCAGAAGGCCACGAAGCTCCTGCAAAGGGCGTCCGAGCTGACCGTCGACACCTCTACCAAGTTCAAGGACCTCGACGGTATGGAGAGCGTCTACAGGGACAACGAGCGGATGCTGTCCGATCTGATGACCGAGGTCGACACTCTTATGGGCGAGATGCAGAAGCATCTAGCTGAGATCGACAGGAAAGCTCAGCTCTATCGGCAATGCACATCCTGAGCACCTGCGGGAGCCAAAATTTTGTTGACGATAGCTTGATGTTTTATGCGGGATCTTCTTAACACGTTCACCGCTGATTCGTAAGATCATAGTAGTTTAGGTAGGCGAGTTTAACGGGACGGTCACTCCTTTCGTTTTTTTCTAGATTTTCTGTAAATGTTAATTAAATTTGATTTGCCAAAGAGAAGAATTGATTTTGATGGTGAACACAGAACTGTCGCGAACAGTCGAAATGATTTGATTAATTTTGCAAGTAAACGTCGCCGAATTTAGCACAGTCGTTATTATTTTCATACTTCTCGGTCTTGCATACCTTTAGGAAACGCTCAATTTATTTAATTATATCACGATTCAAATCAGTTTAAAGACAGTCGAGGAAAAATCTTTCAAAATCAAAGGCATTTAACGAGCCTGTAACTGCAGAGCTTTTGGCACACCAATCGCTTCTTTAACGTTTGGGAAGCGTTTGTCCGGGTTCTATTTCGACCCAGAATATAAAAATACAATCGTTCGACTAATCAGTTTATACCAATCGATTTCGTATAGTAGTTGTTCTACCGAGAATAATTAAAAAATCAGTATGTATAGAAGAAATACCTTCGAAAATTATATTTGACGAAACTGTGAATGATCTTGAGTCGTTGTTGAACATATAGTTATTAACAAGGTTCGCTGTCAGTCCACGAAATTGCAACGTGTGCAAAGGAATAATTTACTACTATTTTCAACGAACATAGTGGTCAACGTGTTAACGAGAGGGGGGTCTATATGTATAGGGGCCCAAAAATGTGTACATTGGAGCATCGGTTTCGTCGGTGCTGAGCTTACCATGGCGTAATCGTATTTCGATAGAGCAGAGATGATACAGTTTAGAAAGTAGGTAATTTAAAAGATTTTAAAACGGCGATATTCTGGATTTGAAAGGGAGCAATTGCACAGTGCCATAAATGTAACGACGGGGCCACATTATTGTTAGACCGTATCTGTAGATATTTGTAACATTTTTCGAGCCCGGTGGGCCGTCTTTTCGAACTTTTTGAATATATATATATATACATATACAGGGTGTCCCAAAATTATTGTACGAGTGAGAAATGAGGGGTTCCTGAGGTCATTTGAAGCAACTTTTTCCTTTCCAAAAATTTTCTCCGAGGCGCCGTTAACGAGTTATGAACGAAAAACGCTGACCAATGAAAGGCGGGATCAGCTGGCGCGAGACGGCCGCGCCAATCAGCGGGACTGGGTTTCGCGCGCTCGTTAGCTTGGCGCGCCGCGCGCCTACTTGAGCTCGCTTCTCATTGGTCAGCGTTTTTCGTTAATAACTCGTTAACGGTGCCTCGGAGAACATTTTTGTAAAGGAAAAAGTTACTTGAAATGACCTCAGGAACCCCCCATTTCTCGATCGTACAATAATTTTGGGACACCCTGTCTATTGTTACGGAATCTTGACGCGTCAAGAGGATGGTCAACCTTTCTGCATTTATTACAGTTTAATGAGAATCGCGCGACGAATTTCGGGATACGCATAGACAGAGAGTCAGTCGCTTTGAGAACCTCTTTGAAAGCAGCCGAGAGAGGCGGACGAGTATCATTGATCTGATGAGTCAGAGATCCGTGTACAAAACGAATTGATAAGAGCACGAACGCCTTTCCATCGAGAGCGTTGCGCGTCATTTCATTCGTCAGACGATTTCGATAGATTGTTGTTAACTGCTCGACAGGTTTCAGCCCAGCAATATTCAAAATGCATTCGTAAGGACATAAGAGATCGACTTCTAATTAACGACTCGTCGTTCGAGCGAGCGCCGCGGTTCCTTCGACCCTTTGCAGTCGAATGATAACTTCGAAGCGCTATTAGAAATTACCGTCTGAGATATTTCGAAGCAATTTTTACATTCTTCGAAGATCGATCGTTTTTAATAAATTCAAAATTCTGGGTACGCATCTAAATCATTCATGTTTCATTTACAAATTGTTCTGGACTTGATGAGATTTCCAGGTTTCGCAGTCAACGTGGCTCCGAGTGCGAAAGGTTGAACAGTGACACGTCGGAAATTGATTCGAGCGATTAGAAATCTATTGGCGAACTTTTCCGTTTATATACCGAAGCTAACAACTATTTCTCGATTAATTCAAGTTCGTGCAGAAACGATTCGAATTACTCAACAGTAACTTCGTTCCGATCGATAGCCGCGTTATTGAACGATTAAAATCACAAAAATAATCGAAGAACTCGTTTTCGCATAAGCGTAAGCACTGCAAAACTTTCATGCTACTCAAGAGAGATGACTGAACTTAATTAGTTGTGGCGCAGAGATAAGCCATCGATACCGATATCTTTCTTTTTCTTTTTCTTTGCGCAATAGAGAATGTTTTATATGTCGCAAACTGAGTTTTTGTACTTATAATGTTTACAATTCAGTGTTTAAGTCTAGTATGGTTTTACTGGACACGGTGCAATAACTATTACGACGCAGAATTTTTATCTTTATAGCCTGTAAATATACACCGCTATGCCTTTTCATAATAAAGGGTGTCCCAAAATTATGGCACTTCCAGGACATAGAGAGTTCCCGAGGCAATTTGAAGTAACTTTTTCCTTAGCGCAAATGCAATCCGCGGCTTTGTTTACGAGTTGACCAACGAGAGGCGAGCTCGGCTGACGCGAGGCGGCTCATTGGCTCGCAACAGCTGAACTCGCCCCTCATTGGTCAGTGTTATTCGTTAATAACTCGTAAACAAAGCCGCGGATTGCATTTCCGCTAAGGAAAAAGTTACTTCAAATGGCCTCAGGAATCTCTCATTTCCCGGAAGTACCATAATTTTAGGACACCCTGTATACATATTATAAGATAGCTCATTCTACAGTACATTCTATAGTACAGTCTATCCGTGCCAATTTTTTAAACAGTGTCTGTAAAATCATGATCTTTTCTACTTATTCCCTTTTCGCATGTTTCTCCTGACGAACACTCGACTGCGGGTGCAACGTTTCTTTCTACGTTAATTTAACGATACTGGAGCCAAATAGAAATTTTGTTCCTTTCTCGACAATTTCAATGGATCGGCGAATAGTATATTCGCATAAAATTCGCAGTCTAATAATTATAATAGTATAGCGTTGCAAGAAGAAATCATTGTAAGGATCAACAATTACGTTCGCGAGGCGAATTTTTGTACAATTTTCATATATGTATTTTCGTCAGAAAGATGTGCAAATTAGACAAATCGTGGTTTCTTAGTTTTTGGAAAGATCGCGAATATGCGGCGACAGTAGCGAGGGTAATAATTTTAAGCAGACGAAGAAACGAGACAGGATTAATAGTTATTTATAGATCGATATAGTAGAGCACAATCGAGGCATTGATGTTTGTCAGCGATGGCCATTATCGAATTAATCTGCTTTGTTCGTGCGAGAAAATGGCGCAGCGCTATAACCACACCAAAAGTTTTCAATTGTATTTAACGACTAGTTTATGTTTATGCGTCGATAGAGAATTATATATTAGATAAATAAATACAATTAAATAGTTGACCGCCGAGTTCACACTTTAATGTCCACGTCTGTTCGATGCCCGGGGGAAGAATCTTATCGGAACGATAAATTTTTGTTAGCGAGAATATACGAAATATCGTGGGCTCGAGCGTGATAACAATATTTTCTTAGCGCGGGCATTATCGTCGCTGAAAAGACGGAAAGAGCTCGCCGGAAATATGGGAACACGAATGATAAAACGCCCACGGTATTAAGAGCTTCCTGCTAAAAGCTGATCCCACGGAAAGTTGTTTATTTCACGGTCTTCGATCAACATCTATGCGATAAAATTCGAACGAAAATAAACAATTCGTAACAAAATAAACAGCTTTATTCGACGGTCTCCGCGAGACATCGCGTTGCAATACAGGTTGGTAGTAGAAAAATGTCTAAAAAAACATTTCAAAACAACCAGATTCTCGACCCCATTGAAATCTAACCGACTGTTTTATGGCGACTCTAAGGCGTCGCTAAAAATTACTAAATCGCTAATCAATGGAATTTCTACTTTGATTCTTTTTTGCTAATAAATAAATAAATTGCTACATAATGAAAGTATTCCAAGTCAGAAGGAACGTCTTATTTTCGGGGTTAAAGTATCCTTGGGTGCAAAGGGTTAAACTCGCCCTTTTCAATTTTACTTTCTCTTAACAAGATGTTACGAGAGTTCTCGTTTAAAATTAACATCGGTCGTTGTTAAACGTGGATAATGTGTTTCGTAGTGTGCTCGGTAATGCGAGAAGCAATGTATCACAACAGAAAAACTGTTCCCTGGTCACGGTATATTTTGTTTCGGCCGGAACAGCTTCTGTAACGGCGCGTCTCTTTATAAAAATAGTATTTATAGTTTATTATCGTAGAGTCTGGTTTCGATCTACACGTGTGCCCCATCGTTCTATGCCCCTGTCAAAGGGCTTGACGTGTCCTGCAGCATCGACTTCCTGAACTAGCTACCGCGATCTTAAAGCCGATAATTCCGTGGAAGCATTAATCATCAGAGCAAAGAAGGCCCATCGACGAAATAAATCTGACTCCAACTTCCTACTCCTACTCCAACTTCCAAAAACTTTCAGCAAAAACGTTAATACTGTGGAGATCTTTAATTTGTTAATACTTGAACGCAAACAAAAATATCCGAGTTCGTGGTATCGTTGCACCGATAATGAACTTGCGTTCTTGATATCGGTAATGAAATTGCATCAGCGACCATCGGTCATGAACTAACGTTAATGACACCGACAGCGACCGTAAGTAATGGGTCAACTAACGTTAGTGAAATCGACGATAAACTTTCGTTAGTAACACCAAAAATGAACTTGCATCAGTTACATTCATGATAAACTTACATTATCGACACCAACGATGAAATTATATTGGTGATATCGACGGTGAGCTTGCATTAGTGACGTAAAAGATGAGCTTACGTAACACCGATGACACCGGTAATAACTCAATACTCAGCTAACGATTAACTATTAACGATAAAATGTTCGCCAACAAAAAAATGCTCTAATAAACCAACAGTAATTTCAGTCGACGAATTAGAAAGCCATCTTGCCGGAACGTGCTCTAGTAACGTCTCTTAGGATATCGCTCCGGTGATCGCAGGTTTTTGTTCGGATGAAAATTGTTAAGCTCCTTTTTGATACAGCACGTTCATTAAAAGATCTATTAATAGGCATCCGGTAGCCAAAGTGTTAAGGGCGATAGAAGTTGAAGATCCCTGGGTTGCGCGCACCTCTTTTTTCATTTGTTATCCCACCTCGCCCTTAAGTCGCCCTTTCGGCATTCAGTGGCATGCTCAGACGCTGTAGGACTCCGTGAATAGACAGCACTGTTGAATCGAAATGGTGTATGGACTCGTGGGTCTATGCATAATGAGTTCATTCAGGACAGCCGGCAGTGGTTGTCCAACGTGCGACTTTGCTGGTGCAACTGCACGAAATTCTAAGTAAACGACACGAGAAGGATAAAAAAAATATGAAAGACGGCGCTCGCGGGTCCGGAGAAAAATTCTTGGGAGTCGATCTTGAGACTGTTGACGATGGAAATGAACGCCTGAAAAAATCTACACGTCTCTACGAACCCCCGTGAGAAGCGTACAAGTACCTGGTGTTACGATAGCTCGTTCACGAGCATGTTTTATTAATTGGACCACAACGTGAGAAACACAATTCTGCCTCGGTGTGTTGTTTATCGTTTTTCCATGCGTAATTCAAGGTCCTTATCTTCGCTCGGACAGACCGCCGAGATTTATTGCCGTCGGCGGCCATTTTTATTGGTTAAAGATTAGGGTATCTGTGGTCGAGCATTAGTCGATTCTACTCGCGCCCCGATTTTTCGTCTTTCCGGTTCAAATACAAAAATGACAGTCGCTATCGCGGTGAAAATTGCTAATTGGATGTGTGTCGTTAAACTGTCCCCCTCTAATCGTTTCCAATAAAATAGTAAGCATTGCCAAACTGTAGAATATAATATTTAATATTATTATTATTATTATTATTAATATTATTATTATTATCATCA